CAAACTTTATTTAACACGTTCACAATAACTCTCAACTTTGTTCAATTGTAACGCATAAAAAAAAAAACTGTCTGAGACGCTAAATTGCTAGAATATTCACAATAACTCATAATTGTTCAAACAGTTGGGGGATTACGGCGTCCAGCTCGTCCACATCCCTCTCGTCATGATCCGAGTCAGTGTGGTTACTGTTACCTGGCAGTTCAGTGATGATTCTGGTCTTGGTGAAAGCTCGGACCACAGATGATCCTGATCCTTAGTCCAGACGTCCACGATCCGTTGGCAGATAATGATGATTGATTCATTACCTCCGCCAAGGAGGTTATGTTTTTGCCGGCGTTTGTTTTGTTTGTTTGTTGCTGTTTGTTTTGTTTTGTTTGTTTTGTTTTTGCAACAACATAACTCAAAAAGTTATGGACCGATTTTGATTAAATTTTCACGATTTGTTGGAAATGTGAAAAGGAAAAACTTATTTCATTTTGGGGGTGATCCGGAAGAAATCCTGGATTCTGGATCACTTTGAAATTTTAGTTAACATTGTGGTAAATGGGGCCAAAAATTTTGTTTCTCAATATCTCGGTTAATTATTGACCAAACCCCATAAAATTTGACTCAGGGATGGACAATGGGATCCTCTTTCATATTCCAAAGGCTGATCCGGATCTGATCCAGAAGATTGATTTTATCGCAATTTATATAAAAAATGGGGGTAGTCCTTGGCGGAGGTCTGCGCTCTCTGAGTGCTTTTCTAGTTAATGTTAATTCTCTCGCAGCTACTCTATTCCCATGTTTTTCTTATAACATGTTTTACTTATAGCCTTGAGGTTAAAGTGGATGTTGTGGGCGTGTCTCTTGACAGGTGCATTTTGATATTAAAAGGAATCACAGTATGTATTTACTCCTGATGCTCCTGATGACGGGAGCCGTAATGCTGCAAGTGGAGCGGCTTTGTATTTTAGTAAAGTTGTACTAAGGCTACGTTCAGACTGCAGGGCTTAATGCTCAATTCCGATTTTTTTTGTGAAATCCGATGTTTTTTGCGAGGTCGTTCACATTTCCAATTAAATGCGACTTGTCTGTGTCTTCAGTGTGAACGGTAAACGGCCCGAAAGTGTCCCGCATGCGCACTGGAGACATGATGACCTCAACCTCATGCGTCAACCGCAGCGATCGTGCTCTGTGTTTACGGAAGTTGTCCAAACATGGACGCGAGCATTGAGCACCTGGTGATTTTACAGTTCCGGTTTCCGCCTGCTTCAGCGCAGAACAGTGACGTTTGTCGCTTGTTAATGACGTGTAGGTCAGATGGATGCGCTTTGGCCGTTCAGACTGAAGTCGCATGTCAAAAAATCAGATATGTATCGGATTCAGGAGCACATATCCAAGTGGCCTGGGTCGCATTTGAAAAATTTGGATCTGTGCCGTTCAGACTGTCATTAAAAGATCGGATACAGGTCACATAGAAGCCAAAAAATCGGATTTGGGTCACTTCAGGCTGCAGTCTGAACGCAACCTAAGACACACAAATAAATTCATATATAAGACGCTCTGGATTATAAGGCACGCACTCGTTTTTTGATGAAATTAAAGGCTTTTAAGTGCGCCCTATAGTGCGGAAAATACGGTATTTTTTTGTTCAGTGTAAGGACTGTGCCGTTTGTCTGATATGTAAAGAAAGTGTGGCGTTTTTCAAAGAATATAATCTGTATAATCTGCGTTGTCAGAGTCATACAGTTCCGTTTACAGGCCTAATCGTGTGTGTTTGTGTGAAGGAAAACCAGGCTCAGACTAAACCTGTCTGACTGTTTGCCTGCAGTAATCAGACTATAACTGGACAAGCGTAGTTGGAGTTCTCTAAAACAGTAGATCCGCACAAAATCCAGTTTTTGCATCAGTTTAAATGTCATAAACAAACGCTTTCTTTGGTCACAGGATCCGGTACTACAGTCACAGAGACGGGGAGGAGGACAAGAAAGGAAGAGGGAAGGAAGGCAAATAGGAAGAGACATAAAGGAACAAATCAGGGGGAGGGGAAGAGGGACAGAAGGAGAAACAGAGAGAGACGGACAGGGACTGAAAGTGAGAGAGAGAGGGAGAGACAAAGATAGATAGAGAGTGGGCAGGAGAAAAGGAGGGAGCGAGAGAAAGAGTGAACGTGGGCAGAAGAGAGGAAGTGGGAAGGAGAGAGAGATTATGTCGTCTTAATGGTTTAAAAACAGATCGTACAGAGTAGTGGTGTTCAATTTTTGTAGCTACACAGACCGGTTTTATGTCCGACGATATCTCGAGGCCCGGGCGGCTGCAGCGGCGCGGCATGGTTTAGTCCTGATTAAATCCTGGTTTAGTCCTGCTTTAGTCCTGATTAAATCCTGGTTTAGTCCTGGTTTAGTCCTGATTAAATCCTGGTTTAGTCCTGGTTTAGTCCTGATTAAATCCTGGTTTAGTCCTGGTTTAGTCCTGATTAAATCCTGGTTTAGTCCTGGTTTAGTCCTGGTTTAGTCCTGATTAAATCCTGGTTTAGTCCTGGTTTAGTCTGGATTAAATCCTGGTTTAGTCCTGGTTTAGTCCTGGTTTAGTCCTGGTTTAGTCCTGGTTTAGTCCTGGTTTAGTCCTGATTAAATCCTGGTTTAGTCCTGGTTTAGTCTGATTAAATCCTGGTTTAGTCCTGGTTTAGTCTGGTTTAGGTTTAGTCCTGGTTTAGTCCTGATTAAATCCTGGTTTAGTCCTGGTTTAGTCCTCGGTTTATTAAATCCTGGTTTAGTCCTGGTTTAGTCCTGGTTTAGTCTTGGTTTAGTCCTGGTTTTAGTCCTGGTTTAGTCCTGGTTTAGTCCTGATTAAATCCTGGTTTAGTCCTGGTTTAGTCTTGGTTTAGTCCTGGTTTAGTCCTGATTAAATCCTGGTTTTGTCCTGGTTTAGTCCTGATTAAATCCTGGTTTAGTCCTGGTTTTAGACCTGGTTTAGTCCTGGTTTAGTCTCGATTAAATCCTGGTTTAGTCCTGGTTTAGTCTCGATTAAATCCTGGTTTAGTCTTGGTTTAGTCCTGGTTTAGTCTTGGTTTTAGACCTGGTTTAGTCCTGATTAAATCCTAGTTTTAGTCCTGGTTAGTCCTGGTTTTAGACCTGGTTTAGTAGTGATTAATCCTGGTTTAGTCCTGGTTTAGTCTCGATTAAATCCTGGTTTAGTCCTGGTTTTAGACCTGGTTTAGTCCTGGTTTAGGTCGATTAAATCCTGGTTTAGTCCTGGTTTAGTCTCGATTAAATCCTGTTTAGTCCTGATTAAATCCTGGTTTAGTCTTGGTTTAGGCCTGGTTTAGTCTTGGTTTAGTCCGGATTTAGTTCTGGTTTAGTCCTGGTTTTAGACCTGGTTTAGTCCTGATTAAATCCTGGTTTTGTCCTGGTTTAGTCTTGGTTTTAGTCCGGCTTTAGTTCTGGTTTAGTCCTGGTTTTAGACGTGGTTTAGTCCTGATTAAATCCTGGTTTAGTCCTGGTTTTAGTCCTGGTTTTAGACCTGGTTTAGTCCTCCTGATTAAATCCTGGTTTAGTCCTGGTTTAGTCTCGATTAAATCCTGGTTTAGTCTTGGTTTAGTCCTGGTTTAGTCTTGGTTTTAGACCTGGTTTAGTCCTGATTAAATCCTGGTTTAGTCCAGGTTTAGTCCTGGTTTTAGACCTGGTTTAGTCCTGGTTTAGTCCTGATTAAATCCTGGTTTAGTCTTGGTTTAGTCCTGGTTTAGTCTTGGTTTTAGTCCGGCTTTAGTTCTGGTTTAGTCCTGGTTTTAGACCTGGTTTAGTCCTGATTAAATCCTGGTTTTGTCCTGGTTTAGTCCTGGTTTAATCCTGGTTAAATCCTGGTTTAGTCCTGGTTTTAGTCCTGGTTTTAGACCTGGTTTAGTCCTGATTAAATCCTGGTTTAGTCCGGGTTTAGTCCTGGTTTAGTCCTGGTTTAGTCCTGGTTTTAGTCCTGGTTTAGTCCTGGTTTAGACCTGGTTTAGTCCTGGTTTAGTCCTGGTTTAGTCTCGATTAAATCCTGGTTTAGTCTTGGTTTAGTTCTGGTTTAGTCCTGGTTTAGTCCTGGTTTAGTCCTGGTTTATAGTCCTGGTTTAGTCCTGGTTTAGTCCTGGTTTAGTCCTGGTTTAGTCCTGGTTTAGTCCTGGTTTAGTCCGGGTTTAGTCCTGGTTTAGACCTGGTTTAGTCCTGGTTTAGTCCTGGTTTTAGTCCTGTTCCTGGTTTAGTCCTGGTTTAGTCCTGGTTTAGTTTTTAGACCTGGTTTAGTCCTGGTTTAGTCCTGGTTTAGTCCTGGTTTAGTCCTGAGGTTTAGTCCTGGTTTAGTGCTGGTTTAGTCCTGGTTTAGTCCTGGTTTAGTCCTGGTTTAGTGCCTGGTTTAGTCCTGGTTTAGTCCCTGGTTTAGTCCTGGTTTAGTCCTGGTTTAGTCCTGGTTTAGTCCGGGTTTAGACCTGGTTTAGTCCTGGTTTAGTCCTGGTTTAGTCCTGGTTTAGTCCTGGTTTAGTCCTGGTTTAGTGCCTGGTTTAGTCCTGGTTTAGTCCTGAGTTTAGTCCTGGTTTAGTCCTGGTTTAGTCTTGGTTTAGTCCTGGTTTAGGTTTAGACCTGGTTTAGTCCTGGTTTAGTCCTGGTTTAGTCCTGGTTTAGTCCTGGTTTAGTCCTGGTTTAGTCCTGGTTTAGTCCTGGTTTAGTGCTGGTTTAGTCCAGTACTGGTCCGGTCGTTACAGCGCTCATCAGACGTTTTAAATGTCATGCATGTTTGAGTAATTTAGTGATCTCTCCCGGGCCTCATTCAAGCCCTCCTGAACGTGGTTTGCTGGAAAATTCCGTACGAGGCTCCGCCCACAAGCCTACGCGCGACAATTCTCCATAAATATACAAAAACGTGACTCAAAACTGGACGCAACAACTCCACAAACCTGATGTTCTCTTGTCCGTGAAGTAGTTTGAGTCTGACTGAACATTTCTCTCCGTGTTTCTGACGGTTCTTCTGTGTGTTGAGAGGTTGCCCCTGGAAACGGCCAGAGCTGGAGGCGTCCACGGTGAAGATCAGCGCCCACAAACTGCAGCCGTGCGTCTTTGAGCTCTGCAAGTTCTACTCCCAGTGTCTGTGCAGGTCCTTCAGAGCCAAGGGACCCAAGAAGAGGTGAGGAACCGGAGGAAGAGAGACAGAGGAGCAGAGGAGCAGAGAGTCAGAGGAGCAGAGAGTCAGAGGAGCAGAGAGCCAGAGGAGCAGAGAGAGCCAGAGGAGCAGAGAGCCCAGAGGAGCAGAGCCAGAGGAGCAGAGAGTCAGAGAGCAGAGCCAGAGGAGCAGAGAGTCAGAGGAGCAGAGAGTCAGAGGAGCAGAGCCAGAGGAGCAGAGCCAGAGGAGCAGAGCAGAGGAGCAGAGAGTCAGAGAAGCAGAGAGCAGAGAGCAGAGCAGAGGAGCAGAGAGTCAGAGGAGCAGAGTCAGAGGAGCAGAGCCAGAGGAGCAGAGAGTCAGAGGAGCAGAGAGAGCAGAGGAGAGCAGAGCAGAGCAGAGGAGCAGAGCCAGAGGAGCAGAGCCAGAGGAGCAGAGCCAGAGGAGCAGAGAGTCAGAGGAGCAGAGGAGCAGAGAGTCAGAGCAGAGGAGCAGAGCCAGAGGAGCAGAGGAGCAGAGTCAGAGGAGCAGAGCAGAGAGTCAGAGGAGCAGAGAGGACCAGAGGAGCAGAGCCAGAGGAGCAGAGAGCCAGAGGAGCAGAGTCAGAGGAGCAGAGCCAGAGGAGCAGAGCAGAGGAGCAGAGAGTCAGAGGAGCAGAGCCAGAGGAGCCAGAGGAGCAGAGCCAGAGGAGCAGAGAGCAGAGCAGAGGAGCAGAGAGCAGAGCAGAGGAGCAGAGAGCAGAGGAGCAGAGTCAGAGTCAGAGGAGCAGAGCCAGAGGAGCAGAGCAGAGGAGCAGAGCAGAGGAGCAGAGCCAGAGAGCAGAGGAGCAGAGAGCAGAGGAGTCAGAGGAGCAGAGTCAGAGGAGCAGAGAGAGGAGCAGAGAGTCAGAGGAGCAGAGCCAGAGGAGCAGAGCCAGAGGAGCAGAGAGTCAGAGGAGCAGAGAGTCAGAGGAGCAGAGCAGAGGAGCAGAGCCAGAGGAGCAGAGAGTCAGAGGAGCAGAGTCAGAGGAGCAGAGAGCCAGAGGAGCAGAGAGCAGAGCAGAGGAGCAGAGAGCAGAGGAGCAGAGCCAGAGGAGCAGAGAGTCAGAGGAGCAGAGCCAGAGGAGCAGAGAGTCAGAGGAGCAGAGAGAGAGAGCCAGAGGAGCAGAGCAGAGGAGCAGAGAGAGCAGAGTCAGAGGAGCAGAGCCAGAGGAGCAGAGCAGAGCAGAGGAGCAGAGAGAGAGCAGAGGAGGAGCAGAGCCAGAGGAGCAGAGAGCAGAGGAGCAGAGCCAGAGGAGCAGAGGAGCAGAGAGCAGAGGAGCAGAGAGCAGAGCAGAGCAGAGCAGAGGAGCAGAGCAGAGCAGAGGAGCAGAGCCAGAGGAGCAGAGCAGAGCAGAGGAGCAGATCAGAGGAGCAGAGCCAGAGGAGCAGAGAGTCAGAGGAGCAGAGCAGAGGAGCAGAGGAGCAGAGCCAGAGGAGCAGAGAGCAGAGCAGAGGAGCAGAGAGCAGAGCCAGAGGAGCAGAGAGAGATCAGAGGAGCAGAGCCAGAGGAGCAGAGAGCAGAGCAGAGGAGCAGAGAGCAGAGGAGCAGAGGAGCAGAGGAGCAGAGGAGCAGAGAGCAGAGCAGAGGAGCAGAGAGCAGAGCAGAGGAGCAGAGAGCAGAGCAGAGCAGAGGAGCAGAGAGCAGAGCAGAGGAGCAGAGAGAGAGATGTTAGTGTAGAATGTTTGTGCTCTTAATCATAAATCTCACTGTAGATGTGTTTTGCAGATATTGCTCTGACAGTCACTTGTGGTACCAGAAACACACTGTGGAGGTGTGCAGACGTGTGCGCAGACTCTCCTTCTCCAGGAGTGAGTACACACACACACACACACACACACACACACACACACACACACACACACACACACACACACACACACACACACACACACACACACACACACACACACACACACACACACACACACACACACACGCAATGCCCAGAGTGGAGAATTTAAGTCTCATCTTAAGACCCACTTTTATTCTGTGGCTTTTAACACAGCGTGAGTTTTGAGGTCCTCCGTGTCTTTTATTTATTTATTTTATTTTTTTTTTATTTATTGTTTTAATCTGTTTAATTTTTTTCGTACTGCCTTTTATTTATTGATTTTGTTATTATTATTTTATCTTTTGAATCTATTAGTATCTTTTGTTTAGGACATAATTCTGCTGACTTTTTAGAGTTCAATGTTTACACTGTTATATGAAGCGCTTTGGAAACTGTCTTGCTTTTGTCACAAATGTATTTAATAAGAGTTTACATATTGAAACATGCAAAACATTAAAGCACATTAACACATTAGACAAAAAGAAAAAAAAAAATACATACATTACGACCCTCCCGCCACCCTAAAACTCACAGTTCACTCAGTTTGAAACAGTTTGAACGGAGGTTTGCAGTCACACACATCTGATTCCCTTTTGCATTTGGGCCTGATCAAGCAGAAGTAAACAACAAGGCCAAAAATTCAAGTTAATGCATCTGATATAAAAATGTATTGAACAGATACATATGTACTCTAGTTTATGAAACTGTTGACCTTTTTTCTGTACCATTTTTGGTTCTAAAGTTACATACGTTTTAAACAGACCATGTATGAAACATGGAACAAAAATTATTTCCCAAATTTCAAAGACCTGCAAATCATGTAAATAAATGGATGTATTTCATCATATCTTGTGTTATTCCATCTTTGAACTGTTGATGAAGGTGCATGAAAAAACATTTTATAGAAATTGTTTCCTTTCATTTTGAAGTAATATTAAAGTATTCGGAAGAAAAAAGCGACAAATGATGTAAAATCCTGCACCTTCTACTTGTTTGAACAATTTTCCCTCCGTGACTTTTCCCTCCGTTACCATGACCTTTCTTAATAAAAAATCTCATGACTCAAAAAGAGGTTTTTCCACCTAATCTTGTACCATATGGTAGAAAACTATATGAAGCAAATATTCAAACCAGTTTGTTAAGGATATGTAAGTGAGAACCAAGAGTTATCACTGTTTGTGTTTATTGCCCAAAAAGTGCTGCATATTTCATTCCCTCCGTTACCGACATGAGTTTTTAAATTTTTTGTCAACAACTTGAAAGAATATCACAGGTTTAACTTGACCCTGTTGGAGTGTAACTCTTTCCTACATTCTGATACTTTACTTATTTCAATAGTCCCTCTAGTTTCTGAATAAGAGACATTTGAATGTCAAAAATCTGCCCCTGTTTCCCTCCGTTACCACTTGACCGGACCCACTTATGGAGTTCACAAACTTCCGAAGCCCGTTTTCTGTTGTTAGGATCCAACAACCACACAATTACGATGTACAAATCCCAAAATTAAAATATGACAATATCAGAACCAGAAACAAAAGTGATATGGTTCAGAAAACTTGAAAAGATCAACTTTGACAACAGACGCATCCCACTGGGAAATCAAACACGGAGGTTTGATGCTCACCTTTTCGGAGAATCCTTCCCAGTATGCATGTATATAGTGCAATAACATGTTCGGCTTGTGACAAGCTTCTTTCTATTTAAATAACACGCAAGCTGTTAGGGAAAATGTGTAGTATGCAGAGTTTACAATCCAGTGGCATCTCACGTTCAACGAAATCTGAAATTACAGGAGTAATTCTTTCCAAAACAGTCATCAGGTATATTCGGATTCTTGTTTATAAAAAGTGCTATGCAAATAGAGTTGGATTGGATTTATGTAAATATAGTTTGGATTCATTCCAGCGCACAGCAGCAGGAGCGTCGTCTGTTGTATATTGTGCTTTTGTTTCCTTTTGTGCAGAGAAAAGGCGAGAAAGGCCCCGGAGACGTCTCGCGCCGCCTCTTCCTCCCTCACGCACGCACACAAAACACACTCAAAACACACACATGCACTGTTGTTTACCGGCGAGATTGTCACGGGGGGCGGGGGGCGGGGCTTGCACTCACCTGCTCAGGTAACCTCTGTCCTCAAATGGCCCCTGTGTGTGTCCCTCTGTCCGCAGACCTCAAACAAAGATGTCTGTCAAAGATGTGCGACAAACTGTGACCACCGCCACCGGGCCCCCTTCACCGGGCCAGCGAGCGCCAGGCCCCGCCCCTCCGCCCGACAGACCACGCCCCCTCTACTGTGTCGTCACTCAGGCCCCGCCCACAGCCCCCGGAGCAGGGCAGAGGTTTGGACTCACAGTGACAATGCCATTTTGTTAACTATTTTATATTGTTATATGATAAAAACAGACAATACCATGTTTTTGTTTTGGTTTTATTGCAATGAAATACATTTTATTAGAAGAATGAAATCTCAAAATAAAATAGAAACATGTTCATACGCTGTTCTGGGTGAATATAACATTTTCAAAGCAATAAAAGGTAACATGGTGATCTAAATATGTTGTGTTCATAACTCATACAACAGGGCTGGGCAAACCTTTTGACTCGTGGGCCACAACGTGTTCTAAATTCATCAGACGGTTTCACTTTGTGGAAACCGTCTGACCTCACAGCATTAGGATTCGTTTGCTCGACAGTAGGCGGGTACTTTTTTTATTTAACCAATCGCTGCTATTTGTTTGTGATGTATGTAATGCGTTAACTGGAATATTAAGCTTTTCCCAAATCCCGTACGAAGAAGAGCAATAACGTCTTTCTCCTTGATAAAATTCACCAAACATTTTCTTTGTTCCAGCTTTAAATCCTCGATCTTGGGAATCGTTGACAATACAGAATATATGTCTCTTCGCTGATTGGCTGGTGCAAACCATCTAGTGCAGGGGTGTCAAACATACGGCCCTGGGACCGGATCCGGCCCTCCAAGACCTTTAATCTGGCCCTAGGCTGATTTTCTATTAAAATATTTGAATTATATTTTCTATTAAATATTTTGAATTATATTTCTATTAAAATATTGTTAATTTTTCTGTGGTGTTTATCAGCAGCGTCTCCAGCGTCTCTGTACGTGGCCCCTCCCACCAGAGCAGCACAAATGAAGATTTGTCTCTTTCCAAACGCTCTTAAAGGACGATCGTTTTGACTGTTGACTGTGACACCCTCATCAGAAAAATGTCCAACATGAGAAAAGTGAAAAGTGAAATCCGAGTTGCAGGATTTTCCAAGAAAAAATTGACTTATTCCTATTTACATACAAGTTAATGTTAAAACTTTGTGTTGAAATTGCATTTTTCTTAAAGTTTCAGGTTGTTCATAATATTATAATATTTTGTAAAAGAAAGAGTTCACCAATTAAAAAAGATTTCTGTAATAGATTTGCATTTCTCTGCTCAAATATTTGAACTTATTGCTATTTTTGGGGTTTATATGTCATGAGTTTTCTGATCCGGCCCCTTTGGGATCAGAGTAGGTTGGATACGACCCCCGGACCAAAATGAGTTTGACACCCCTGGTCTATTGTATTCTGATTCCTGACCTATTCGCTGGACAGAAATGACATTGAGCAGAGGCTGTGGTGGCACCAGCCTGACTAGGACCAGGAGCAGATGGATGGAGTTTTATGGTAATCCACCTCATAAGAGAAAAAAAAAAAAATACATTATTGAAATATCCCATAATTGAAAATCATTACAACAAAATATCTGTCTTTCAAGTCCACATTATTTACTATTTATTGAAATGACTTTTAAAACACTGAAAATTATTGTTATTATTCAAGTTTGAAGGGCCAGATTAAAAAGATTAAAGGGCCGCATATGGTCCCCGGGCCGTAGTTTGCCCACACTGTTTGAAAGCGTGAGTTGAGAAAAGGAGTGGTCGGAGTCGTGTCCTTGCAGCAGTCCTTACGTAACACGCACACCGATGTTTGTAAATGAGTCGGAGGCTGGACTGTGACGCCGCACGGTCCAGACTCTGTGACCTTTTCGTCCTCTGACCGAGTCCCACCGCCGAGCCGCTGAGGGACGCCTCTGCAAAGCTCGTCCTCGGAGGGTTTCACTTGAACTTTACTCGCGTCAAAGAAATAAACAAAACTTCAGGTCTCTGTACAGAAGATAGTCCGTGTAGTGCTCTCAGTATTGATCTTGTATAAATGTTAACCTGCACTTACGAATGACACTGTTACCTTAAAGTGAACACGCCAACTGGACAAAGTCTCCAAAGTCCAAAACAAGCTATGATTTTTTTCGCCCTGTTCTCCTGTATCTGATCTTTTAATGACAGTCTGAACAATACAGATCTGATTTTTTTCAAATGTGACCCAGGACACTTGGATATGTGCTCTTAAAACTGATACATATCTGATCTTTTGACACGCGACTTCAGTCTGAACGGCCAGGTCGCCTTCATCCCACCTACACGTCAGGTTCGGAGTCTAGTCAATGGAGGGAAAGCGAGGTTAGAGAGTAAATTGATATTTGGGGGGATCGCTGTATTCAGACCAAATTGGAGGGGTCTTATCGGAACCAGACGTTTCCTGAAATGATTGCCAAAGAAGGCGTCCCGGCTCCAATGTCAATGAAAAATAAAGATCCTGCGAGCCAAATACAAGGAGAATAAAGACTCAAACAAATGAAGCAGCAGTGAATGTGTAATCCTGTCAATTTTACCAAGAATTGGACCATATTTTGGGAGACAAACCCAGCGTTTAGGCGACTTCCATAAACACTGAGCACGCTCGCTGCGTGTGACGACGTCGTGTCCTCCAATGCTCATGTGGGACACTTTTGGGGCGTTTAAAGAGACAAGACAGAGACCACAGCCCCTCAAGACCAAATCGAGACCAACTTGTATTTGAGTTATTTTGGTACATATATATCAATGTTTTTATAAATATATCTCCATTTTATCAAGTGTCAGACTTAGAGACCAAGACAAGATCGAGTCCGAGCACCTTCAAGACCGAGACAAGAGACCAAGACAAGATCGAGTCCGAGCACCTTCAAGACTGAGACAAGACCGAGTCCAGGCGCCTTTAAGTCTGAGACAAGACCGAGACAAGACCAAGACAAGACCGAGTCCGAGCACCTTCAAGACTGAGACAAGACCGAGACAAGACCAAGACAAGACCGAGTCCGAGCACCTTCAAGACTGAGACAAGACCGAGACAAGACCAAGACAAGACCGAGTCCAAGTGCCTTCAAGACCGAGACAAGACTGAGACTAGACTGAGACTACACTGAGACTAGACTGAGTCCAAGCCCCTTCAAGACCGAAATGAGACCAAGTCCAACCACCTTCAAGACCGAGACAAGGCCGAAACTAGACTGAGACTAGACCGAGTCCAAACGCCTTCAAGACCGAGACAAGACCGAAACTAGACCAAGACTAGACCGAGTCCAAACGCCTTCAAGACTGAGAAAAGACCGAGACTAGACCAAGACTAGACCAAGTCCAAGCGCCTTCAAGACCGAGACAAGACTGAGACAAGACAGAGAATAGACCGAGTCCAAGTGCCTTCAAGACTGAGACAAGGCCGAGTCCAAGCGCCTTCAAGACCAAGACGAGACCAAGACTAGACCGAGTCCAAGCACCTTCAAGACTGAGACAAGACCGATATTAGACTGAGTCCAAGCGCCTTCAAGACCGAGATACGACCAAGACAAGCCCGAGACAAGACCGAGACAAGACCAAGTCCAAACGCCTTCAAAATCAAGAGGAGACCAAGTCCAAGTGCTTTCAAAACCGAGACGAGACAGAGTCCAAACACGGTTGAGTCTGAAGCGAGACCAAGACCACAAAAAAACAGTATCCAAGACCAGTCCTGAGTCCTCAGTCCTCCGACACTATTTATCAGCTTTTATTTCACCAGCTGGTGTCAGACGTGAAACTCCCGCTTCATTCCATCTTCATTTTTCTGTACATCAAAAAAAAAAAAACACCTGAAGAACTGAAGAATGTTTACTTTATGTCCACGCCGGTTTAGTCCTGGGGGGTCCACTCCTGCCCCCCCCCCCCTCGTCCCTTTAACCCGAGCATCAGATAAACGGAGGTCGGGCCGGGGGTCAAGCATCGCTCCTGCCCAGAACAAAGCCCCCTCTGTCCCGTCAACATGCCTCGAGACAGGGCACCCGCTCAGCCTGTGCTCCGGCGTCACCCGATCACCCGCGCCCAAACAGGTGTGTGTGTGTGTGTGTGTGTGTGTGTGAGGGGGGTCCTGCAGGTGGGAGGGGCCCTGACGGTGAGGGACAGGTGACCGCCGCGTCCGACCACTGACCAGAGCTGAGACGGACCCGGAGTCGGAAGGTAAGGACTTATTATCCAACTTTGTGTTTTAGAAGGTTCTGTGCGGATTTGATGTTTTAAGACGTGTTTTTCTGTCCACGTGATTAAAGATGAGCACGTTTCAAACTAAATAAGCGAAACCAAATAGACGTAATCTGTGCAGGATCTGTCCGTGTGTCATTCGTTCATTCGTTTTTTTCAAAATAAAACCAAAAATAAGAAAACAAAAAACAAAAAAACACCTATTTTCTTCATTATTTGTCTCCAAAACCAAAATGAAAAAAACAGATAATGATTCGTTTTTTTCAGTTTTCGATTTTGTGTTTCATTTACGTGACTTAAACCGAGATGCTGGACTGAACCAGGACTGAACCGGGCTCAGAGCTGGTCTGGTCCTGGTCACGGTCCCGGTCTCGGTCCCGGAATTGGTCTCATCGTCTCGGTCCCAGTCTCAATCACGGTCTGGTCGTGGTCTGGTCCCGGTCTGGTTCCTGTCTGATCCTGGACCTGGTTTAGTCCTGGTTTAGTCCTGGTTCCGTCTGTTCATCGCAGTTTAAGTCACGTAAATTCGTCATTATCCGGTTTTTCCATTTTTCATTTAAACCCAAAATCGAAACCTGAAAAATCGGTCCTTGTACCATTTGTTCTTTTGAATTTCAATTGAAGAACGAAAAACAATAACGTGGGAAAACAGTTTGCTATTTCATTATTTCCTTTTAGTATCTAACAAAAAATAGACTTCGACCTCTATTTTCAATATTTAATTTAAAGTTTTGATATTTTATTCTCTCTGGTTTATTTGCCCCGGAAGTTCTGCTGCTAGAAGGATTTACTTGCAATTTTGTGGACAAACAAATTTGTGTCCAATCCGTGTAT